AGGGAAGTGGTTGAGTCACCATCCCTGGAAGTATTTAAAAGGCGGGTAGATGAGGCGCTTAGGGACATGGTTTAGTGGGCATGGTGTTGTTGGGTTGATGGTTGGACTCGATGATCTTGGAGGTCTCTTCCAACCTTTAATGATTCTATGATTCTATGATTCTATGATTCTAAAATGCATTCCCCTGCATTCCAGGTTGAAAAAGTGATGTTCTAGAACAATGATTTCTAACCCTTTGTTTTCATGCATCATCTCTAAAGATTTGCAGCGAACTGATAAATGGCCTACATTCTTTTCACTTTCAACTGCTGTTATCCATTCATATTCATTAACTTAGAACAAAAGGAGTTAAGTACTGCGGGAAATACCGAGTGGCGTTACAGGCCATATGAAATACTTTAATACTCTGCAAGGTAAAACAGTAAGGTGCTATTGGAATTAAAATGCTGGTAGATTGCTTGTTGATTTGATTAATGCCTGCTGTCTGTAACTAAAATATTTCACAACTGGAAATTCAGTAGGTTTAACCTCTCAAAATGTAAGAAGTAAGAACGTAGGCTACAAACCTCTGTGAAATACAGTATCTGGTGCAGCAATAAATATGTTTCTATAAAGATTGTGTATTGCTCCAAAATACAGTTATTCGTTAGTAAAGCCCCTGTTATATTTGTTGCTCTTACCTGCTTTTGTGGAATGGTGTCCATGAACCCGAATGCTCTTGGGAGCTGCTGCTGCTTTTTCTTTGAGCTTTCATTGAATGAGTCCTTGGTGGTAGCACAACACAAATTGCTGAATACTGCAGGACTCCGCCTGTCCTTCCTGTTGAAAGGAAGATGAAGAGAGAGCGAAGATGACTCGCACTGGCGAGTGTTGGCGTGCTGATTATAACAGCTCAATATCTGTGTCCTTTCCAGGGAGCTCAAATTCCTGTTTCATTATTTTCCATCTGGATAAATGCAGATGTGAAAAAAAGTAGTGGTGATTGCCTGCAAAAAAAGTAACATTTAGAGTAGCATGCCGAAAACATGTTGGGAGGATGCATTCTCGGCTTTTGCTAAAAATGACCTCTCTCTGAGGTCTGAGAGGTACTTAATTTCTCAATTCCGAAGCATCAACAGTGCCCATGGTCTTTTGGCGATGTTTGGAAATGTACAGAAAATGGCTTTTCCTGAAGAACAGATCCTGGTGCTTCAACCAGTATTTCGCCTCTAGCCTCGAGGAGACTTGTAGGTGTGTTTACATTTGAAATTCATGCACAAGTTCAAGCTGATAACAAATGTGGAAATAAATGTTTTCAAAGCAGCATCAT